AGCAGTCTTAGGCACGTCCTCAGGCCTGATCCCTATTTGAAAATAACCATTCGTTAAGTCTAAAGTTCGTCATAAATTTGGTTGATTTTATGTTCCTTAAAATTTCTTCTATAATCGGTAACGGATATACCGGATATTTCGTTATGGAATTTAATTTACGGTAATCAATAGCGAATCTCCACCTTTTTGGATGCTCCAAAGGATAATCATTATTTTTCTTACATAAAACCACCGGACTAGCATAACTACTTGAGATAGGCGTTACGATCTTTTTACGTAGCATATCGGTAATATGCCATTCTATAATTTTTTCCTTATTCTTATCATACCGGTATGGTTTTTGACGAACCGGCAATGCATCTCCGGTGTCAATACTATGGTTAGTAACCTGGGTAAATCCTGGAATATCACTAAATAAGGAAGCAAATTCACTTACCACTTGTCGGATTCTATCTTGCTCGTCATTAGGCAGGTGGTCAAGATTTAACCTTGGCGGTTCAACCTTTTCTACACGCACTGGTTTCATCGTCAGCTTAAGAGACGCTTCATTAAAATCCAGTGTAGCTTGTGCGTCTGAAAGAAAGTCTATTCCTAGTATTAAGTGTGCTTGCAAATTCTTTACTATAAAAAAACATCACCTTTACTTGTTCGTCCTTGATACGGATGTACAAAGGTACTTTACCTACCTACGCACTTACATTGTTCTCCTTGCGCCGCTAATACTGTTGTATTATCCGCATTATATATGCGGTATTTGCGAAAATACTTTCTAAAAAAGACTTCTGCCACACAGGAACACTGCGCGCCGGTATCCAGGAGTGCGGTGGCCGGGATATTATTTACCAAGACTTCAATCTTCGGAAGAGTTAAATTTTTCACCATTACTGTATTTAACTTGTAGGAAGAGGGGTTTTCGTGGCCTTCGGATTTCCGCACCCTCTCGTCAGCAGAAATCCGTTTTAGTTTAAATTATTTTTTCTTTCGGTGCTTTCCTTCTTTTCTCCACTGGCCTTGAGACTTTTTTCCTGGGTTGCTATTGAACTGTCGACGTTCGCCGGCTGTTTTTGAATGCTCGGGTTTCCTTGCCCACTGATTCGCTTTTTCTCCGTAGCCATGTGCTTGAGTTTGCTGTAGTCTTGGCGTACCAAATTGGTTTCGCTGTTGATATTGGCGTCTTCTTTCGACGTCCGCCGTTCTTCTACTTTCAAACTGGATTGCTAGCTCAAATAATTTTTCCAGTGTAGTCGGATTTCTCAATTCAATAAAGTCTTGCACTTGGGGTAGTAACCTCGGCAAAATCACTTGAATTATTTCAGGATCCGGACGGTTTCCATACAAGAGCTTGAAAACGTGAATTTTTCTTAAAATAAAAAACTCGAGAGGTTTTCCATTCTTTGTTGATATATACTGAAAAGTTCTGTTTCTAATTTCGCACGATCCCTTACAACAGGGAAGGCTTTTAGTAGGGCAGTCTTGAAATTTTCGTAGGTATAGGTGGGACTTCCTGCTTGACCCAAGAGACTTCTGCCGATACATTTGAACCAGTTAAGCGCTTGGCCCCTCAAAGCGCTGGTAGCTAAGGTAACTTTTTGAAACTCGTGCACGGGGTAGAGCATGAAGTGGTCATCCAATTTTTCCAAAAAACTGGTTACCTGTGAGTTTCCATTAAACGTTGCTTCTGGTTTCATCGAAGCGCGCATGGTCTGGACAATATACCCAAATCCTTCCAGGGCGGCAGCTGGCATTTCTGGATTCTGAGCTGTTTCTGCAGGCAGCACAGGTTCTTCTTGAAACTCGGCCATGGTTATTCTTCGTCGGGCGCCACTATCAGGTTCAATGTTTCTTCTAACCTTCTTCGGAAACATACAATGACCTGACTAGAACAGAGAGCTTACTAAAGCTATGTTCACTAATTGTAGTAAGTAGACAGGATACAGACGAAGGGTATACAAAACCCTTTATTTTTTCTTTATATACAATGACTTCCGTACTTCGGAATACAATGACCCTCCACTCGGGGTCTAACTTAAAAGATATCAAAATAAAACTAAACTCTAATTTAACTTTAGAATAAGATTGGCCTTATAATAACAGGAAGCGTATGTAGCACAGAGACTGTGAACACTACAATACGTTTAATTTATCAAGAGGATTAAAACCTCTGGCCTGGAAGGCAAAGTAGCAACTGCGTAACTTCTAAGGTAAGCGGCCTGCTTCGAACTCACGGCTTCCTCTCTTCTGCTTGGCAAAAAGGCCACACTTAAATACTTGGCGTTCGCCAGACAACTTTGCATAAAACTCCTTCACGCTTATAATTCTGGCCGGAAGTAGAAAATAAGAAGTGATAGTAAAGATTTAAAATAAAATAAACGTTAGTAAAACTTAAGATCCTTACAAGCTTGCTTCATTCCAATTTTCACCTTCGACTACAGGCCATCCTCCGAAATTCTTTAGCATCCTTTTCAGCGGCTCGACGGTGCGTTTCTTTTCTTATATATATTAAGTTCAATAAAATAAATTGCAGACAATATCCGTTTATTTATTGCATCTGTTAAGGAACTAATACAAGGCTTATTCAGATTTAGCTGAAAAGCAACCTTATATTGGCATAGGTTTACAATATTTAAAATTTATTTAAATCTAAGGCTGTTTTTTTGCTTTATTTTATGTTTACGCGGAGTATTTAATCTTCTAATCAGAGATGAAGTTAGCTAAAAATAAAAAATGACAGCCAAATCAACCTTTATGAAAATTTTGAATTTATTACAAAGAAGATAATAAGGAAAATATGTTTTTATAAAACTGAAAAGTAGAAGACAAAAGATAGTATGTTTTCATATAGATAAAGATAGAAAGAGATAAATTTAATTAAAAACTAAAGTGTAAAAATATTGTAAATATTGCGGTTTAATCTTCCAAGTCTCGATTTTTTAGCTGAATCTTCATCGTAGTAGGGATGCACAGTTACATAAATAAATAGGTAGGCAGACAGTTAGCTGGAAAGAAAGAGTGTGAGCAGACTATACGAGCAATTTGAAGAATAAATAAATAGAGAAACAGATGCATAGACCAAGTGATAGATAAGTAGAAATATTGCTAATGCTGTTAAATAAAAAAGACATTGTTTGATGTCGAATTATTTATTATTTAGCATTAAATTATTTATTATTTACAGCATCTTTCTCATACTAATAGAAATTTCTCATACATTTTCTTTTTAGCCATTACCTCTTACATTTGCTTTTCAAACCAAACTTTTGAATTTTCTTTTTATTGTTGCCAAAACTAATTATGAAATGTGAGGTTTTCAATGAATCCATTTTCCTTTAAACATTATTAAATTAGTAAATAACTTGCATTTATCTTGTGAAATAAATGATATTGAAATTTAAAGGATGATTTGACAACAAATTTTATAAAATATTACTAGACTTGTCCTCCAGTTTTGAGTTGCTATGTCACTGAGAGGGAACTTTAGAAACATTGAAACATATATTACTAAAAGTTAAATTAGAAATTCAAAAGTCAAAAACCAAAATTTTAAATTAAAAGGAAAGAATTAATAGTTCAACAAACGAAAAGCAGGTTATGTGGGAATAATTTAAATGAAAATTTTCATTATGTAGCTGATTTACAATTTCTATCTCTACAAAACCGCCTATAAATTACACTAGCTTTGATACGTACTTATAAAAATATGGTAGGCGATGTCGAAATGTATACATGAGTTAATGCTAGTGTGGCATTTTCTATAACCAGATTCTTAAGGATATTAAAAAGGTCAGTTCTAAATTTTTGTGAACAAAACACTAATGAAAGGAAATTATGAAAGTGAGTCATCAGATGTATAAATTACATCAAGCAAATGTGTTATGTAATTTAAAATTTAAGCATAATTATAAAAATGATCCGAGTTAACAAAAGATGATTAAATCACACTAACTGCAGTTATTTAAGATAATTATGCGCATTTGAATACGCAACTATATTGCTGCAAAGGTACTGGCTACCAAATCGTCAAGTACATGAAATGGAACAAACCGTAAAATGAAACATGCTTGACATCGTTCACATATCTTGAACACAAAGGTGAGAGTTGAAGCTGCCCAGCTATCGATAGTTGTGTCTGAAAGAAATCGTTTGAATAAAGACCATAAGTGGTGAATAGTCTGTTGGCTCGATGCGGGTCAAACACTATTGGCATCCTTCAAAATAGCAAATTGTTTCACAGAGTGTGACCTCAAGAATCTTAAATACTTTTTTAAACGTGGATGTAATTAATCATCTTGCTAATCAAAATATTCAGAGAAAAACTGCAATATCCGAGAAATGGTACCAATCATTACTAGCAGGCAGACCATCTGTACGCATGCTAGATAACTTTGAAACTCTCCAGTAGGTACAATTATTTGAGTAAGTAGCAATTTACCTCTTATTGCGTCTTAGAGAGGAAAAAAAATATAATTTTCATCAGCCCAGCCAAAATAACTAGGACCTTCTACTTTACTTAACACGTCTTTCCATCTCATATTCAAAAATACGCTTTTTATATGATGCAGAGTTATTTGTTTCCTACTGAACCATGAGAATGGCACCCGAACTCTTTATCTAGCGTTACGATATTTTGGTAGCCACACAGAAGTAAGCACATGAAGGTCTTTATCTCCAAATAAAATTGTTAAGGGATTATTCGGATGTTAGTGTCAGCTGACAGTTATACCACTATACCTTAGGTTTCAAGCCTAAGGTATAGTGGTTGTGTAATGGTTTCTTCGTTTAATCCTTCCTAAAGAAAAAATATGGCATTCTATTCTGTCTTATGCTTGAAATGATGCTCTAATTTGTGATCAATTTTTGGCGAATGTTCTGCTGTAAGGTAAAATATAGTTGTGATTAACTCGCCTCAAGAACTATATCACTCGATGCGGTGATGGGTTTTCAGATATTATTAAAACCATTTGACCGATGAGTTGAATGAATCAATTGAAAACTAGACTTACCGATATCATTACAAGCCTTATACAAAGATTTTAGCTTCACAATGAAATCTGGTTCTGTTCCTGTCAACTCTTTTTCTAATAAAACTGAAAAAAAAAAAAATAAATATTCTATTAGTTATTTAAACGAAAAACAAATTAGTTTTACTTTCTTCTTAAATTATCTCTGAAAGGTTTAAGCTATATGCACTGCTGGGCAGTAAAATTGCTACATAAAAAAAGAAAGCAAACAGCAGAATCTTATCTATTATACATATAAGAATATAATGAAAGGAAGACAACCAGATCCAGGTGGTTTGCAGGAGGAATTTGCAGATAGTTTGGGGTAGAAAATAGGCAGAATTCAATACAGAGCTTTAGCAGCAATAACGACTAAATTTGATTAGGTATCAAGTCGAACCGAATTTAGATAACGGGTAATTCATTCCATGTGGCTCCTTTAGAACTGATGACCTCTACCCCAGAGTTCATCAGTTTTAGTGGTTGACAAAAATGGCCTGACAGTCTCATTTTAACCAAATATTCTCAGTGGGTGAGATATCTGGAGAACGTGCTGGCCAGGTCAAAAGTCAGAGAGTCTGCATCCAGGAAAATCAAGACAGCACGGGGACATATGATCGTGCATTATCTTGCTGAAAGATGGCGTCACGCAGGCCTCAAAAATAGCGTACAGCACGAGCTTTGACGTATAAAAAAATGAAACGGTACTGTCTATATTGTCAGCTATGTGGAAAAGGGGTGCCCGGATATATACCCAACGGTATTCCATATCAGGGCATCAGGTGCTGGTTCTGTATGATGATAACAAATGCGCCTATCATGATGCTGTAAACAGAGCCGGAATTCAACTAAAAACAGGTCGTGGTGTCTGTGTCCATTGCACCTGTATCTAGTGCCGTCGTCCTGCTATAGGCATATCTGTCTCTGGCAATGTAAAGGGAAACCACAAAAATGGTCAGTTTCCGGGAAGTCATTGGACCATGATCTGCCGTGGTCGAGCACCAACACCGAGTTTCTCCCGTCTTATACTAGATATAAGTTACCCTTTTCACAAAAATGCAACATTCAAATGCAATTTCCAAATAAGAAACTCGCTATGCAGTCTTATCATTTATACACAATGCAGATGGAGCTAATAGTATCTGATTTATGCACATCAGCTGGAATGCTAATAATTTGCATAATTTATGGTACCTTTGATACAAATTCGACATTTATTGTTTGCCGCCTTCATTAGGTTAGCAAGTTTAATGGCCAACAGTGTAACATATGATATAATATATATACACTCATGTCCAAATTTATCTTTACGTGCTAAAATAGTAATAATATTTCGCGAACTATCGACGTAATCCATTTTTGCATGACAAGCCTATTTAGCGTTATCGAATCAAAAATGATGAGTTGGTTATTGATATGTAAATCAAGGCGTTATATCATTCGATGCCTGAATTAAAGCGTTTTGAGCAATGTGATTATCTGAACAAATTCCTGCATTAGCGTACACGATCTCAGTATGCAAGGACTGAAAACAGTTTACTATGGTTCCGAAGTGTCAGTTTGACGAATCTGTGAAATGGTAAAACATCGGCGCCGCTTAGAAGCAGGACAGATAACAGTGGAATCAATGAGATGCATTAAAATTTCAAGACAGACGGTCTCTACGCCAAGGATGTCCAACCCGCAGTTCGCCGAACCACATGTGCCCCTTGCAACCCTTTTATATGGCCCGCATTGCACTTCTAATCCTGTCTCAGTCTTTTGAAGTCAAGTGCCAAAAAGGTTAAAAGAAAAATCTCATTATTCCAGTACGCCACAAACTGAAAAGTGTAGCTGATGTAATCCGAAAGCGCAGCTAATGAAGAGATATCTTCTTCAGGGACTTTGAGCTGCCACGCTTTTTACACTACAATTTCCGTGGCAACATTGCTGCCAATATCTCATCAGTGACACCACAGTGGATTGCTTCAGATTGAACTGAATGCTGCGTTTTCATTTGCTAATCAACGACTAGCTATTTTACAGTCATTGTCAGCCTCTTGCCGAAACCTGTAAGAAATATACGGCAGCGAACACTGAACGAATTTTCCAAGTTATGCGTAATGTACTTGATTTGGCAGCTTCATATAATGCAGGAATATGTAATATAACAAATATTGTTTTCTTCTAAGTATGTTAATCATTAATTTTAATATATATTAATGATTTTATAGTTACACTAATCATGTCATGGAATAAGCGGGGGAAGAACCTATAATTATAATTTTAATAGCAAATGGGAAGAGAAAGTTTTTTTCATTAATTTTAAGAAAAATGAAAAATGCATTTATTTAATATATAGTTCAACAGTTTCTATTGAACAAAAAGTAACATATAATAACATTTTACAACAGTTCACTAAAATATGATACTAACAGCAATCAAGGGAAATGTAAAGTGGAAGAATTGAAAAGCATATTTATTGCCGAGCAATCAGCGTTTACCCAAGTCCGTAAATAAAGTTGAGGTTGCTATGATTGCATCTTTTAATGTTGCCCATATACTTCACAACCTTTGAGGACCTTTGAGGATGACAATGTAATTAAAGAAGCAATGCTTTCTGCATCGGAGACTTCATTTCAAGAACTAAAAATAAGAATAATATTATTTCAGCTACCCAGGATGTCCAATTATAAGACATTCCTCGACTCGTAAAATAGCAATCAAATCTGAAAATGTCAGAGGACAGTAAAAGTTGATTTACAAAAATGCGTTTACTAAGATTACTGTGGGATAATTAAAGAGATATCTGCAGTGTAGCTGAAGGAAATATTTTTATTATGATGGTATTTAATCATTTCTCAGTAAAGGAAGGTATATTGTCAGTTTTACCATTAAAACGCAATACACGCGGAATGGGCATGTATCAAGCTATTAAAATCCATATAACCTAAATTATTCTTCCGCCTCGAAAGCTTGTATCCATAATAACAGACAACTCACCTTCCACTACTGGTTCTTCTGATAGTTTCATCACATTATGTAGGAATGACGTTGATTTTTTGGACATTTTTAACAATCACTGCATAATCATTAGCAGGCATAATGCATGCGTTTTACATTACGAACATGCGATGAAAATTGTTAGTTGTTCAAGAAATCGTAAATTTCTTTCGTCCCGACTTACTTAAAAATAGATTGTTCAGAGGACTAATTGATGAACTTTATGCTGAATATGGAATTTTAATGTCATATTATAAAATTAGATGTCTTAGTAAAAAAAATTCCACAACGATTTTTAGCTATTTTTCCTGCGATAAAATAATTTTTAGAACCCAGAAACAAAACTTGCGAAGAACTTAGAGATCATAACTGGTTATCGGATTTAGCTTTTCCTACAGAACCAAAGCGAATAAACTAAAACTTCAGAACAAAGACTATTTATAATTGACTGAAGAGGAAGTGTGAATTTAAATTCAATTTGTAGAAAATATGTAATATTTTCAGAAATGTAACTTTTGAATGATAACAGGATTTGAATAATAAGAGTTTTGAGAGTTACGTGTATGTGCTTGGGTAAGTGGGAGAATGATTTTATACGATCGGAATTACGTATTTCTAAAAATACGGTGAGAGATGGGAAAAGATTTTATAGGGAAGTGTGGAGTTATGCTTGAAGGAGAATGTGATGTTGGGTGGGGAAGGCGGAATTGTGGAAATTGACTAAAGTAAATTTGGCAAGCAAAAATATCATAGAGGGAAAAGAGTCGAAGAGAGATGAGTGTTTGGTTTTCTTGAGAGAGAGACGGATAAGCGCTTTTTTAGAGTGGTTGAAAGCAGAGGTACCGAGTTATTGTTGGAAGTCATTAAACAGAATGTTCTGCCAGGATCAACTGTTATATCGGATTGCTGGAAAGCCTACAACTGTCTCGAGTCCGAAGAATATGCGCACTTAAAGGTCAATCATAGCTTGTGTTTTATATATCCGGAGACAGGTGCGCATGCCAACAGTATTGACGGAAGTTGGGCAGCAATTAAAAAACGTTTCTGTGGTCCTCGGCACGTAAAAGGACAATTCGATTCCTATCTGGCTGAGTACATGTGGAGACAGAAACAGAAGAAATCCTACATATGCCAATTAATGGTTATATTTCTCAATATATCCATTGTCAGCAATATATTCTGCAAAAGGAGAGGATTGAAGGTATGTTTCATTTATTATTATTGACATTATTATTATTATTGACTCGCGTGCTTGTCAAATATGGCAATGTCGCTTTATTTTACTAGCTTTATTTTCGTTTTGTGTCATTTTTCTGGAAACACTTTTTTATAACTCGAATGAATGGAGTTGGTTATGGGAGTATTTCTGCAAATCTCTGATTTATTTTAAGTGAAAGCAAGTTTCTGAGTATATGAGCAATGCAGAGTTTATTCAATATCTCATTTTTTTAATGAAAAGAGATCGCTGTGTACATGGGCTTTGCCCATGTACACAGCCCATGTACATGTACATGGCTTTGCCCATGTACACAGCGCAATGCCTAGGAAATGCGCAATGCCTAGGTTGCGTGTGATGCTGAGTTTGTGCAATTCTAAGATTTTTTAAGTGAAAATAGATCGATGTGTACATGAGCAAAGTCAATGTAGCGCGCAGTGCCGAGTTTGTATAATTCTCTGGTCTTTTTTAGTGAAAATAGATCGATGTGTACATGGACAAAGCCAAGGCAATGCACAAAGCTGAGTTTGTGCAATTCTCTAATTTTTTAAGTAGAAACAGATCGATGTGTACATGGACACCGAGTATGTGCGATTCTTTGATGTTTTTCGAGCGAATACAGGTTGAATAATAATGTAACGATGCGATGCGGATTAATAACAAACAGCAAATGGACTGTATTAGTAAAATGCGATTTTATTTTCAGGCCAAAAAAAGGTTCTGTTGCGAATTCAGCTAACATAAGCAGAATATCTGCTCTCGACACCAAAGTACGAGTAGTTGTAGTGGAACACAATTTAATGTTTCTATATAATTATTAAGATTTCCTAAGTGGCAACATGATATAATGTTTTGAATAGTTATTAACATTCCCCGTGTGGCAACAACGAGTCGAGCTGAAAACGCCGTTTCTTGGAGTATTCCTTGACGAGCGTTGCGTAAGCTTTATTTCTTAAAAGTTTGTTCTATTTTTATGTAAAAAAAAAATAAGTAACATGTTGCAAATAAGAATGGAAATTGTAAAAATAAATATACTGTTTCTTTTAAGACCAAAATAAGCATTTATTTCACTTATGAAATGCTCTGGCTGATCAGTTTCGATTTCACTTATTCATCAAATCCACATTAAAGGATTGGTAACAGTAACATTGGATAATGGAAGGAACATAAACGCTGGAAACTTGCAAAGTGAGTGTTAAAATTCCACCTTTCTGGCCAGAAAAGCCTGATTTTTTTTTTTTTTTTTTTTTTTTTTTTCAAATAGAAGCTCAATTTGAAATTAATGCAATAACTGTTGATAGTACCAAATTTAATTATGTAGTATCTCAACTAGAGCCAAAATATGTTGAAATTATTTGGGATATCATTACGGATAAAACATCTGATAATAAATATGCTTTAGTGAAAGAAAGTCTGTTAAACACATTCAAAGAGAGCGAATTAAGCGCTTAGTCACTGGCCTTGACATTGGAGATATGAAACCCAGTCAGATACTTCAAAAATGAGATCGCTCGCTACTGATGACGTTTCAGATAAAGTACTGAAAACATTGTGGTTAGAAAAAATGCCTGACTCGATAAAAAATATTTTACTGGTTTCCGATCAAGGGTTAGACAAAATAGTTTTAATGGCCGACAAAATAATGGAAATGAATTCAAAGCCTGAAATTTATTCCTCTGCCGAAAATTTAAATTCGGTCGATGAGTTACTGCTAAAAATTTCTTCTCTGGAAAAACAGATAGAAACTTTAAGTGTTTCTTGCTAATCTCGGTCTCGGAATCGTAGTAGGGATGCGAGACCGAGATTAACGAAAAGATTTAATCCAAGTAATAAACGAAAAGATTTAATCCAAGTGGAAAGTATTGTTATTACCATTACATGTTTGGCTCAAAATGCATTCCTGGAAAGTGTCAATCTAACTGCCCTTGGGGTCACAAGAAGTCGGAAAACTTAAATCAGCAGCGGAATTAACGGCTGATTTTGCTGCAGGTTATGCTCAGGATGGCCGCAAACACCGAATATTTGTGACTGACAAACACACGGGTTTGCATTTTCTAATTGATTCCGGCGCAGATGCTTCTTTATTACCTGCTGCAAAAAAAGATAAACTTCAAAGTGACTTCAAATTATATGCCGCCAATGGCACAGAATTCCCACTTATGGGGTAAAATTTTTAACGCTTGATCTTGGCCTTCGTCGAGCTTTTCGATAGCCATTCATTATTGCCAAAATTAATAAAGGCATAATCGAAGCAGACTTTTTGGACCATTTCAAGTTAATTGATTTAAACAACAAAAGATTAATCGATGGTGTAACTAACCTTACTACTAAATGTGACATTACATCCATCTCCAAAATGAATGATATAAGTTTAGTACATGGATAAGTTAAATTATCATGATCTGTTATCCAAGTATCCGAATATAACAAAACCTAATCTTTTGATAACAAATGTTAAGCATAATGTTAAGCATCCCATTTTAACTGAAGGGTCAACCGGATGTATTCCAAGCCAAGACAGCTAGACAGTTACAAACTGTTACAGACTGCCAAACAAGAATTTCAGTATATGTTGGAAAAAGCAATATAATAAGACAGTCTAACCTTCATGGGCTAGTCCTCTCCACTTAGTCTCTAAAAGAGATGGAAATTTTCGTCCCTGTGGAGACTATCGAAGACTTAATGCTATAACTATTCCTGACAGATACCTTATCCATAGGATTAATTATTTTAGCCACATTTTAAAAGACAAAAAAATATTTTCCAAAATTTATCTTTTCAAAGCCTATTTCCAAATTCCTATAGCCGAAGAGGACAAATAGAAAAGCGCCATAATTACGCCTCTATGAATTTAATGTTGTGAGCTTCGGTTTGCGAAATGCACCGTCTACTTTTCAAAGATTCATATATGAAGTATTTGAAGATTTGGAATTTACTTTTCCATATCTCGATGACATATTAATTGCTTCTGCCTCAGAAGAAGAACACAGACATCACTTGAAACTTGTTTTCGATAGATTAGATAAATACGGTTTGAGAATCAACATTTTTAAGTCGATCATGGGTGATGATAACTTAGAATTTTTAGGATATCTTATAACACCGGAAGGATCTTGTCCTCTACCTGAAAACGTCGAAGCAATATTGAATTATAAATTACCAGAGACTATCCATGATTTGCGAACTTTCTTAGATATGCTTAATTTTTATCGACCGTTTCTGAAAGATGCTGCTAAGACACAAGCAATACTTCATTAATACACAAAGGGTGCTAAGAAAAAAGATAGAAGAAAAATTAAATGGCCAGATGAAGCTATATTTAACTTTGAAAAATGTAAACAGGTTCGGCAAACGTAGCTCTTTTAAGTTATTCCAATTCAGATTTGCCCTTGTCACTATGCACGGATGCATCCGATTGGATTGTTGGTGCAGTTCTCCAACAGTTTGAAAATGACCCATGGAAACCTTTAGCGTTTTATTCAAAAAAATTAAATATTACTCAGAAAAATTACAGTATTTATGACCGCGAGTTACTGGGAATATATCTTGCAATTAAACATTTTAAACATATGTTAGAAGGTCGCGATTTCAAACTTTTTACGGATCATAAACCACTAGTTTATGCTTTCAGACAAAAGAGCGAAAAGGCATCCCCAAGACAAATGTGCCAATTGCAATACATATCTCAATTTTCTACTAACATATGCCATATTAGTGGAAGTGAAAGCATTGTTGCAGATCAGTTATCAAGAATAGCCGATGTCTTTATTTCACTCATTGATTATGATAAAATTGCTGACAAAGAAGTTAATAATAAAGAATTACAAGATTTACAAGCTCAAAATAAAACG